GGTCACCGACCACCTGCTCCTGCTCCAGAAGGCCTTTCACCAAATGAGTGGGCCCCATCTTCGACTCGGCAGTCAGTCCAAGCAGACATGCCCGAGTACACCCTGCGAAAAGAAAGCTGCGTCTGCTTGGAAGGCGCCCAACGTTGGCAAACATTTGACAGTCGCTGCAGCCCGCCGCGCCGCCAAGCGCATTCTGGCATGCCGCAGTGCAAGCTGCAAGCTCCCAAGCCTGCGCCGTCTGCGGGCTGGGGAGAGCGAGGGGGGCGCGCGCGTGGCCCAACTCCTGCCCAGCATCGAAGACCGATACACACGCCCATCCCGTCCTCGAGAGCCCTTTAATAACCAAACGAAAGCACGACCCATCCATAAAACGCATGTCCACCAAGAGCGCGATCATCATGGCCGTCGACTCGGGAGAGCGCAGGCTCAGCCACGGACGCAGGCGGGAAGAAATCGTCAGGATGCGGGAAGATGCCGCGCGCATACAACACCTGCTCCGTCTTGCTCAGCGCGCCCCACCTTGCGGGCCAAAACTCGCAGCCGTCGCGAAGCAAGCCGGCGCACGTGGCCACGCAGTCGGGGTGCCGGCACGCCCACCGCCCGCGGGAAATGGCGCCCCTACCCTGACAGCACATAGGACAGAACAAGGAAGGCAACACACAGCCAGGCTCGTCCGCGCGAGTCTTGGCCCACGACGCCTGACAAGCGAGCCCGCGGACACAGCCGTTCTCCCACGTGGTGAACTTAACCGCATCCTCAAGCAAACACCTGAGAGGTGTGAGGGAAACCAGCGCGAAGGGAACGGTGGCGCCCTCATCGTCGACCAACGTCGCGAGACCCGTCATCTGCCAACCCAATCAACCGAGAGCCTCATAGCCCCCGCAGGGCCCGACGCCTTCCTCCAACGCGGGAAGGGCCCCGAGAAGCTCACCTCCCAAGCCCCGCGCAGGGCCGAGAGGGACAGCCCGAAATCGAAGGGCCCAACCAAACTGGCCCAGACTTCCATGGCCCATCGGGCGACTGGAGCAACGGCGCAGGTGCCGGGCGGGATCGGCGGCGAAGAGCAAAGCTGAAGCGAGGGAAGCCCCCCCGCCGATGGGGGCAAGAATCCCCCCAAAGACCGCCGAATCGTAAACGGCTCATGGTCCGAGGTGCCATGCGCCCCGCACCTGTAGGTCATGCTGGCGAAGGTTCCAGTCGCGAAGACCTTCATCGCATGACGCCCCAGGGGCGACGTGTGAAGCGCTAGCCTGGAAACCTTTCTGCCGAGGGCAACCCGGCGAACTCTCAGCTTGGACACTCGCCTAGCAATCCTGATCGACCTGCCTGCGGCATCGCCCGCGCCCCGGTTCGCGGCGGCCCGGCAGGGCGCGCCGCCGACGGCACCAGAGCCTTGGCGGCTGGCCTTCGCGACGTCCGAGGCGGAGGCCACCGCCGCGCAGCCGAAGCTCTCGACGACGCCGACTTGGGAAGGCCAATCCCGACTCTGGGGCCGCCAGCGCGAAGGCGCGGATGGAAGTGGCGGCGAAGCAGCGGCCAGCGACCAAGCCACGCCACGCGAACTTAGTGCCGCCCGCGCGGCCCGACATTGTCATATACCTGCATGCGCGGGTGGCCGAGCAGCAAGCCGTGGCGATCTGCGTGGGAAGATGGCGCCGGTGGCATCGCTCAATAACAAGCCGAAGTCAACAGACAAATAGAACTGATCCAGGTCCCAAAGGACCGAGCAATGACAGTCCTGAGACTTGACCGCGGCTTCGCTGTGGAGGCATTGTCTCCAGACCGTGTCCGCGCTAGACGCAGAAGCCCCAGCGGCGCTAAAATGCCCCGCTGCGGCCCGACCCCCACTTCTTGGCGAACGCGTGTCGGGCCCTGGGCCGCAGCCTATACATCGCGACAGAGAGACCAATCGGACGATGACCTCCCTCGGGCGTGGAAAGCACGACCAACGGGGTGATTCTCCTCCCCCCAGAAAGACGGTCAGGGGCTTCAAACATTGCGATCATCTCCGAAAGAGCGAACAAGGCCTGGACCGAGAAGTGCTGCGCACTACGAACGCGGAATCCGTTCAGTGACTGGGCGGCCGCGAGCGGAAAGGATCGAGCCGCGCGGCGGCCGTCGCCGGGCGACAGCGGTGGCAGCGGTGGCAGCGAACTCGAAATTGGCACCAGGAGCGCACTCTTCAGTACAGTCCCTGGCGCGCCAGATGCCTGCGAACTCATTTAACTATGTGGCGAGAAGAGCTCCAGGATCCGACATCACCCCACCCTGCCTAAGCAGACAGCGTGGTGACGGGGGTCCATCCAGGGGCTCCCTTGACAAGCCCGCGATCATGGGGCGCACCATTCTCGATGCTGTGTCGGATGCACTCAAGCCACTTCCCGTGGTCCTCCTGGCGGGCCTCGCCCTCCGCAGAACGCCCAGGTGGAAGCGGGTGCGATCCGCGCCCCCATTGGGGCGCCAACTCCAGTGCACGGGGCGACAAGCGGGAAACGACCTCCCAGCGCTGGGGGGCCCAGGGCGCGCCCCCGCGCGCCGTTTGGCAGGGGGTGGCGGGGGGCGGCGGATGCTCAGAGCCTTGAAATCAGCCAACTGCGGGTGGAAGGCGGAAGGCCATGCGTCGCCAACTCCGAGTCGCCCATGATCTCCGCGCTCTCGATGGCCTGGGCCAGCCGCGCCTGAACCAGCGAGCAACCGTGCATCTCCACGCCCGCCGTCAGCGGCGCGCGAGAGACCCCACCGGGGAAACAAAAGTGAGGCCCCCAGCCGACCTGGCATCCGAGTCGTGGCCAGCAGCTGGGGCTCAACGTTGAAACCGCCGCCAGCGATGCGCGGCGCCGCCAGGTTCCGAGCCGGCGCCGCGACACGAGCAAGCACGCGGCTGTTGACATCGTTGATATGCCAACAGCATCCTGAAGAGACACGCTGACCATATATGAACTGGCTTGCCCAGGGAAATGGACCAGGACCCCCGCGGCCCTGCGCCCGACAATTTAAAAATTTGAGACCCGAAATCAGGAACGCAGAACGTAGAAGCCGAGAGACGACCGGGCCGGCGCGGCGACCCCCGAGGAAGGGCCCCCAACCAAGGCCCAACAATGCAGGTTTGAAGTGCGCTTTCCACCCGTTACGATTGCACCGCGCCAGAGCTTTTACGAGTCTCCTCGGCGCTGACGAACTTGCACCCCTGACACCGCGCGACGTGGGCCGAGGTCAGGTTCAAAGTCGGGCCGGGCGAAAGGGGGGGATAGCAAAGGAAGGGTTTGAGAATCAGTTCACGTAGCTGATTTTCCCTGCGCTTCCGGGCGCCGGGAGGCGCCCATGCGTCGAGGAATAGGCCCGGCGACGGGGCCGAAACCAGCTGCATGCAGCAGATTTCGCAACCCCCCCTTTCCCTATCCCCCCCTCTCGTTCGGCCCGACAAAGATCTCTCGATAGAGTTCCGCGCCGTGCCGTTCGCCGCGGCAACTTGAAGCCCCAACTGGTCCATGTGGAAACCTTCTCGCTCGAGATGCAAAGGTGAGTTCCGCGGGGCATCCAAAACTGGGCAAGCAGAAATCATCGTGGGAAGGTGGAAGAGGGGGGATCGTTACCCCGACGACGGTTTGGCCTCAGCCGCTCCTGGCGCCACGGGTCGGGGCGGGGGCGGTTCGGCTGCGGGCGCAGGCTTCGGCCGGAGCCCCATTGGCTGCAGCGCCGCGCTGGACGGCCCGACGGGCTTCAGCGCGCACATATGCTGCCGTCTTGGCGGCCTGCTCGCCCGCCGCGACCGAAGAAGAAGCGGCTCCGCCACTCGACGTCTCGGCCGCAGGCGCAGACTTGGCAGGCTGGACGGGCTCACTAGGAGGCTGTCTAAGCTGATTATCGGGATGCTGGAACTCCTCCCCCTCGTCACAATTCCGCTTCTTATTATGCATGCGAAGGCGCTCGCGCTGAGCTTCGTGCTGGGCTTTGAGGCCCCCCGCCTTCGCCTTGATGTCTCCGAAGAGCTTGGTGCAGCACGGCTTGATCTGATATGCGAGTTCCTGCTTGCGGCGCTCGACATCTGCAACATCCGTCTACCCGACGCCAACGAACCCCCCGAGGCCAAATATGCCGTCGCCACTGACCTGCAGGCTGGTGAGGCGACCGTCGAAGATTTCCGACAGACAGACAACAGCAGGCGATAGCACGGGTTCGGCCTCCATGGTGAAGTGGAGCTCCGCGATGGCGGCCTTGTACTCCGAGTCGTACCTGTCCAACTCGCACAGGGTCGCCTCCAGCTGCCCCCGTTGCGTGGCCAACTTCTGTTCGAGAGAATGTACTGCACGGAAGTCCTTGTCCAGCTTCGCCTCGAGCCAGACAATCTCCTTGTGCGCGGCGTCGGCGCGCCTTTGGGGGGGGGCTGCTGAAAACGAGAGCGCGGCCAGCTCCTGCTGGGCCTGCTGTAGAAGGGTATGGTTCCCCGTATTCTCGTACACTTGCACGATCTGCGCCAAATCCGCACGGGAGGGTGGCTGCCCTGAGCGTGGCGGGGCTGGTGCAGCAGGCTGTCCCGCGACGATTCCAGCTGCATCACGACGCAGGGCAGCTAGGTCACTGGCGCGGGCTCTCTTATCAGAAGCAGAAGAGTTTCACCACTTTTTGCACTGCTTACAGCACTGGTAGAATGATTCGTTACGCTTGCACCCGCCCTACTGACAAGCCCAATGAGCGCCACTCCGAGCCACGCCACGGCTCTGAGATCTCCATGGCGGCCCCGAGTCTGACTGCGCTGCGCCTGGCATTGCGTGGGGGTCGTCTGCAAGAATGGCCAAGCCACAAGGCACGCTGTCATCCAGCCGTTCTGAAGTGTCGGTGGCAGCGAGCAAAAACGTGTGCGAGAACGGCTAGGAGGAGGAGGCGGAGGAGGAGGAGGAGGAGGAGGAGGTCCTCCTTCCTCCTTTCTCCCCCAGCCTACAAATTGTAGCGGTGGTGGAAAATCTGCCTATCAGGGGGGGGCGCAGGGCCGCGCCGAGGGCCTGCGGCGCGGCGCAGCCGGCGAAGAGGTCGCGGGGGTCGGCCAAGAAGGGGGCGTCCAGCTCCGCCAGCTCCGGAGCGCGCAACTCCTGGCGAGGGCCGCGCCCCTGCTTCTCGGCGGCGAGCCCCGGGGTGGGGCCTTCTGAGAGGTTTTCTGTGCCTCTGGGGACGGCTCACAGAACCTCTCAGAAGGCGCGGGGACGTCCGAACCTTCCGAGAAGGCCTTCTTCGAAGAAGAACACACGGCATAAACAGAAACTGTTGGCGCTCCGCGCGGATTTCTCGGATCCGCGCCGGACCCCTCTCCCTGGCGCGCGGAGCGCGCCAGGGGCGGCTCCAGAGGCGCCGCCGAGGGGGGGGGCAGCGCGGATCCAAGAAATCCGCGCGGAGCGCAGCAACTTTCTCTTTATGCTGTTTTTCTTCTTCGAAGAAGGCCTTCTCAGAAGGTTCGGGGCGCGGTCAGGGAAAGCGACCAAGGACGGGCAGAAAAGGAAGGATGCAAGGGTATGTAACCTTGGGAAGTCGGTCATCCTTACAAAGCGAGTTGACTGTGTGTGTGTGTTCTGGTCTGCGGCGACTGGGGCCCCACAAGCGGTCGGGCCAACGTCGGGGGCGCGTCTGCAGCTACGGCGAGGGCAGGGGAGGGGAGTCGAAAGTGAGCCTGGTAACTCAAATCGCATCCGATTCCATGGGAAGCGGATGGCAAATAGCGTCCATTCCTCTGCTGCGGTGGTTCAGTATGGGGAATAGGCGGATAAGATGGGATAAGATCGATGTATCGGTCTTTCCAGCACATAGCGAACACTCGCGGTGTCCGGGCAAATAGGGCGCGCGTGCCTTGAGCCAAAGGCAACGGCGCGCGAGCTATGCTCCCGATACTATAACATCTCCCAAAGAGCTACCCTTAAAGTCGGGAGGGGAGGAGACGGAGAGCATAGCCGCGCAGCCGTTAGGCTTTTCAAAGGCCGCGCGCACGACTGTTTGCAAGAAAGAAAACAGTGCGTACAGTCTGGCCTAACACCAGACTGTAAGGCGAGTTTCCTCGCAAGGCATTTCACGCAAATACAAGATAGCCCCTTCGAACGATGAAGGGCTATCGGCTCAGTTAGAGGTAAGCCAAACAGGCCATACCTCACCGAGCAAATATGTATTAAGGCAAAGAGCCTGAGTCATACAAAGCCGGCTCGCTGCCAGGCGTGAAATGCGAGGCTCGTTTCCGAGCAACTAGAAGGGCGCCTCTATAGTAGGCGCCCATGCTGGCAAATTGGACCGCGGGGCAACAAGGACAGACTAAAATTGATTAGACTTGGGTTTGTCTCTGTCCTCGGGACCCCGAAAGGGAACAAACTGCTTCACGTCATACTTGAATGATTGAGTACCTGACATTACTTCCAGAAGCAGCTCCCGATCGATGCTTCCCTTTGTATGCCCGTCTGCGGTCATATCCCTAGTATCACACCACTGCACGTTATGTACTATACCTATATCCATGAGCTCACGTACCCAACTGATGTGTCCAAGCAGAGTCCGTTCTGTCGGTATCTTAAGATCCTTGCTTGATAATGATTGATAAACGGACTCAGCGTCTATGGTAAGAGATACTTTGATGGCTAGGCCTCCAACTTCACGCATATCTCGTAGTTGTCGTGGAGTCAGAGCTCCTGCCTTGAGCTCGTGGAGAGTGATGAGCGTAGGGTAACACTCATCGAGGTTATGCGCCGCTGCGAGTGCCTCCGCAGCATAGCTGGACCTCACCTGCAGTCGGTGTGATTTGCATAGTCCGTCACAGAGGTGAACGACGGACTTGCCTTGAGGCGAGTTTCCTCGCCGTAGTACATTCGCCCCGCGTATGCCGTAGCCCTTGGTCTCATCATCCTCCTCCCCGGTAAGCTTCCGATACCCCGAATCGCTGTGGATGTCAACTTCATTCGTCGGCTTCATCCGAGGGAAGGTGATGCGTTTCGGGCTGCTGATCAGCTTTCGCGTCACAGCATTCAGGCGTCTGACTTGCAGATTGGTGGGCTCTTGGATTTTCTGGAGAGAGACCACGTATACCATGAGCCAGTTTTGAGTAAGAAGGGCATAGGCGAGGGCTCCTCGCAAGCTGACGAACATGTCGCTAATGAGTTTCGTGGCTTTGGCATCGGCCGCCGCTCCTGCAAGTTCGGGGTGTGTGATAGGACGTAGTTGTTTGATATACTCGTCCTGATCCATAATCACATCCCCTTGATCATTCTTAGTGTAGCGAACGGCGCAGTTCGTATATGCGTGTTTGTTTAGCTTGCCTTTACCAAACACCTTTTCGACACGCTGTACGTAGTCGTCTATATTTTTCTCTAGGCCAGTCATGTTAATATCATCGACATGTTTTGCCGTTAGCAGATCTTGGCTGAATTCAAACTCAGGGTCATAACTTGTCGGCGTAAGACCCATAGCTCGTGTGGTCGCACGAAGTTTGAGAGAGAACGCTCTTGGAGCATCTTTTGTACCCGTTCCTGGTTTGAGGCATCTGAGGCAGCGTCGGCTTTCGTCATAGGATGAGAAGCCGGGTAGTGTACGAAGTACCTGGGCACTTCCCGGTGGAAGAGTGAAGCAGACCATGCGAGTTTCCTCGCCTGTGGCATGGGCAAGTTCCTCATAGGTCAGACCCTTGAGGAACGCCTTGTCAATATCCATGGATGCTAAGATCCACTCTGGATGGCATGCCGCCTCACTTGCCAGGAGTCTCTGGGACTGCCTTCGGGCGGTTCCCGAGAACGTTTCCACGTCGAAAGCCTCAGTATCCATAAATCCGCGAAGGACAAGTCTGAGACGAATGGTTTTAACGTTCTCGGTACCCACCTTTACAAACTTCCACTTGTATACATACCTGGATGTCATGATGTTGGAAGCTTTGGATAGATCATACATCTCAAAACATCGGTTGCCAATCCAGATTTTAAGCTCAGTATACAAACTTTCACTAACCTCCTTTGGGTGTGCTGCTATGTCGGCTTTGGTCAGTAGATCATCTTCTTTAACGACCACAGCACGTTTAGCAGCAGAGGATACATATACTCTCATCGTTGCGACCATATCGGTGTCGAGCTGTGCAAGTTGAGTTTGATCTAACACTATTTTTGACATTTCTGATGTAAAACATAACCCAACGTAAGGACCATATTCATCACTATCAAGAGAGTAGCTCTCGTCAGGTGTGGTTGAGCAGAGAGAGACTATACAGGACTCTCGTGGTTCAGGCTCGTCTCCGAGAGTGTCCGATGATATGGTATCTTCTTCGTCCACGGATGCTGAAATCAAAACACATTGGTCAGGCAGCACGGTTGTTGGGACACAGTAAAGATAATCGTCGGTAGTCGTCGTAGGATGAAGGTCCATACGTAGCTCGTCGTACCACTCTTCCAGCATCATAGCTTCGATATTATGTTCCTCATTTTCCTCATAGATTGTCGACAGACGGCCTTCACTCGGCGATGAAGCACCCGGGGTGTCTGGAGGAGGCCTGTTTCCAGGCGAATCGTGTTCTCCAGACGTGTTGCCTGAGTGCTGATATGTAGCTAGGTCGTCGTGAAATCCTAAGGAAGGGACACGTGAAGTCAAGCATTGAATGAGTCTGGAATGAGTGCTACCAGTGATCTGAGAAATGTTTAGGCCGGTGCCCACACACTCGTAGTAGTGGAAAGCCGGGCTGATATCGTTGTCATAGTGGATCAGCGTAGACCCGGTGGCGTACTTTACTGCAGGTACGCTTGACACACTTTTGGCCAATCTAACTGCCACTACATGTTCTACTCGAAAATAGTTTCGTACGAGATACTGTAGTGCTAGATGCACGCGCGGGTGAAACTTGCTGTCGTCTGAGAGATTGAGGTTTCCCTTGTAATCGGGGATATAGCCGAAAACTTTGGCAGGTTTCCCTGCGCCGAGGTGTGCCACATATGTAAGGACGGTTTGCATGGCCATATTATCCATGCCAAGTTCCCGTGTGAGGAGACATTCAATGTATAGTGTGTGACGAGCATCAGGATACATCACAATTACCTCACGAGATCCTGCCTTGACAACAATATGTCCTCTTTCAGGCACATTACGGATCACCGGGAATGGGCCATTCCAGCCTCCATGGTCGTCCTTGGTGGCAGTGGGTCGGTGGTAATCGACCAAATCCCCTGCAGAATAAAGGCGAGCACCATCAGGAGTCGTTTTAGCCCTAAGAGCCCGATTTGTCTTGGCCACAGCAGTGGCCTGAGTTATAGCTTCTAGGCTGACTTCCCTTACACGACGTTCTCGCTCGTGTCCTGAAGTCTCGGGTCCCTTGGGAAAGTCAAGGGTATCGAGATCAGGGAGGAAGGAAGGCTGACGTCCTGTGTGTGCTTGGTATGGCGATACTCCGTTATAAAACGTAAAGGCATTAGTCACGAAGATGCCTTCCGCCAATACTCTAGTAAATACAACAGGGATGTTGTGTCTATTCAGTTCTTCCTCAATCATGTGGAGGACGCCTCTGAGAATGCCGTTTCGTGACTCAATTGAAGTCGCGTGTTGGCCAGGTGCTCGGATACGAAGCTCCGTGCCCTTATTGGCCAGCATGGCTTTAGCGGCATCGTTATTCAGGGCGCCTTCTCCGTCTGAGTATAAGACTTTGAAGGGTCCGTGATAGGCAATCCAGCAATAGTGGTAGGCGTCAATGATAGCGTCACGTTCTCTGTCGGAAATTTCTAGGCCTGCTGCCAGGCGAATACAACGATCCATAATAGGAAATATGGTCCGTTTTTTGTAGAACATGAGGTCCATTTCACCTTCGTCGAGCCAGTTACCAGGAAGGCTCACCGAGGGTAGTGTTGAGTTTCCTGGACGTTCCCATGCTCTGCATTCCCGACAGGTATCGCAAACTTCCTTGATCATGTTCAGTCGAACGTTATCAAGCCCCACTTTGTCGAGGATTAGCCTCATCTTTGGTTCCTTCGCATGATACCATCGCAGATGCAGTTTTCGGAGTTCCTTTTTCACGACATGAGGTTCGTGACTACGGAGACTCTGTAGACTGTGTTGGATGTCGAATCTCGTCCAGTCGGGTAGTCGAGGAGCC